GCTACTAGAACATGAAGGACTACTTAATTGTTGTTCCTCCATTTTCTGGTACCATGTCTCTTAGAGCTTACCCTTTGGCTTTTCCCTAATAAATTAGCAAGTGGATATAACTTTATACCATAGATTATTCCAATAAAAACTGAGATTCTTTATTCCTATGCAAAAACAAAAAACAAAACAGAAAACAAAAAACAAAACCCACAACATTTTGCTTGAAAGATTGCAAAAGGGCTAAATTCTCAAATAAATTATTTTGCATTCCTCAGGGGATAGTCCTTACTTTGGCTGTTTCATTCACTCATACCTGGGTTAGCGCCTATGTGTTTTTATGCTGAGGTTAAATGACATGGTTGCTGAAACTTCGGCCTAGGGTGTTCATTCATATGGGTCAATTTATATTATTCTTATGTTCTTTATCCATTATAACTTAAATCTTGTACTTCTTCTTAAAGAGTCATTATTGGCATAAGATTTGTGTATTTACGCACTCGTATTGACTTGAATTTTATACACACAAGGGAAGAAATAGAACAGATTATGCCCATATCCTTAACAACATTTTTTTCTCCCATCTGACTTATATGTTTTACCAGGGTTCTTTCCAAATGGCAAAATGTTGTTACTCCCTCCTATTGATTCTAATCACTTTGATATATTATTTTAAGTCAACTAAACTTTTGGAGTTTGCCATTTATAGTAATATGAATATGAACTAAACTTCTATTTCTAGTACCTAAAAAACCCTGGAGAACCAGAGCATAGTTATAATATTTTTGTTGAAATACTGAGAGACTGTCTGGCTTTAAAGTTATTTTTTTAAGATTTTATTTATTTATTTTAGAGAGAGAGAGCACAAAGTGGGGAAAGGAGCAGAGAGGGAGGGAGAGGAAGAGGGAGAGAATCTCATGCGGACTCCACGTTGAGCTCGGAGCCCAACACTGGCTCAATCTCACGACCCTGAGATCATGACCTGAGCTAAAACCAAGAGTGAGACGCTTAACCGACTGAGCCACCCAGGCGCCCCTGGCTTTAAAGTTATTAAAGACTTTTTATGTTCAGTATTGTTTCAGAGCTAAGTAAATTTTATGGCGTTCTAATACTTACAGAAAGAAAATCAGTTGGTAATAAGATCTTATTACTTGGACCCCATAGTGCAACATGAATTTTCTATGGGTAAGGGCAAAACCAAATAAAGTTAATTCAGGAAGGTGAGTTTTATATATGTAATTCAAACACAGTATGTATCCAAATTTTAATAACTGAAAACAGGAAATCCCTGAAAAAAGCAGAAAAAGTAACAGAATGCAGTATCTCCAATTATATTTCGGGACACCAAGTAAGCAAATGCCCAACCTTTCTTTTACTTAATATGCTTATTTCTAAAATTTATACTTAGCAGCATTATATATTGTTTCTCACACCTAGAATTGATCAAAATCTGAAACTAGGCTAAATCATTTTTTGTCTTAAAGAAAATCAGATCTGCTTTAGAAACTTCATGTTTGCGAGGCTCAGAGCAACACCTCTTGATAAAGAGATGCTGCGTTATCAAAGACTAAATTCACCAGGACTAGGAAAAATTAAAACGAGCAATCTAGTGTTATTCTAGAACAACATAAGAGAAGTAGTGACCAATGAAAAGAGAATCATAGAATGTTAATGCTGAAAGAGACTTTGAAGGTTTCTATTCTTTTTAATATCGTCAATTTCATGAAATTAAAGATAAAGCACTTGCTTCAGAATGCACACTTACAAACTAAGACAGTGAAGGGTCAGATAGAGATGGAATTTGGAACTCAAACAGAGACAGAGGAGGTTGGAGGTAGGAAATAGAGAAGAGAAGCCACAAAATTCTGTGCTAGGATACGTCGGCTGAAGGTCTAAAAGAAGTCGCCAATAATACCATCTATGCCATACTTTCTCTCCAGAAAATAAGAAAAGTGCTAGCTTGCTTCCCCGTGGGATGTGACCCCTGTACCAGGAAAGGATCCTGAAGCTGTCCCTAATGTATCTTAGTGCCCTTATTATCCAAAGATCAACAAATTTACCCTATGTTCGGCTGAACAAATGTAATATTACTTTTTGGAGAAGTGAAAAAAAAAAACTCTCCTCTTACTAATGCCTTAATTCAGAATAATTTCATTGTATGATTGGAAATCACATCTAAACAGAATCAGCCTGTCACTAAATGCATGGCTGAGAACAGATCCTTTCCTGTTTATAGAAAGCAGAAGTGCCTGGGCTTGGAAAGGTAGTAGAGAAGGAAGTGAACTGGGTGAGAGAAACAAGGTACTGAAAAATAGTCCAGAATCCCTGAAATAAAGTATGCTTTTGCATGGTTTTGACACTCTTTATCTTGAACCATATACAGACAAATGGAGGTTTGTGTAGTGAGATTTTCTCATGAGCGGTCAAAGTGGGCACAACACTTTCCTTAAACATTCCTTTCAATATAATGAAATCCACCAGTTGATGAAAAAGTTACTCATTTTGATTGCCCTTTCATAGAAGTAACTTTTTCACACAATACCTTCATTTTCAGAAGATCGATGTCCTGAGACATGATGGCATTCAGAAAACTTTTAAGGAAAACTTTGGTCCTATGAGAGCCAAATATTCTTAATGCTTTAGCACCAAGAAGGACTTAGATTTCTGTTAAGAATCAGAAGAAGCACGGAACCACGAGCAGTGTTGAAGAGGGGTGAAATTACCAAGTTTCCAGCAGTGTCTCAACTTCTGGTGGTATAGGGAAAGTAATCTGGTTTTCAGTCCCTGTAGAACAGGATTTGCTTGAGTGCTTTCTAGCATGCTAGGGCTTCCCTTTTGTGTATAGTATGCATGATTTAAAAGAAGCAGTGTCAGCACTGATTTATACATTGACAGCTAAGGATAATAAGATATGGGCAAACATACAGCTCACCCTTTTACAGATTAACCTGGAGACTGCATTAGGCAAATTTGATAGCATTAAAAGATTTTGCCATTTTGTCTGGAAACAATTTCTCTTTTGTAGTGTGTCAAGGGTAACACTTCATGCCATTGTACTAATTTAAATGGCTTTGATAAATTGTTCAAGAGGTTAGAGAATAGTAGTGTAGATATATATTTAGCACTTTAAAATAAAAAGGCTGTTAACTTAATTGTTAAATGAATTTAATCTGTAAAAATCAAAAGTGCTCAAGAATGTAAGTGTTTTCTTGGAACCACAGCAGCCATATTACATCATGAAGCTTTAAAAGTCTTCTTAGAAAATAAAATTATCCTTCTGCATTACTTCCTAATAAGTAGAAATGCTTTAAGCTATTACAGTAGCATGGATGGCACCTATTATTTGGGGAAAGCCTTAGTCTATAAAAGCAATAAAACCATATCTGCTCCAGAGTTGGCCTTTTTTTTAATGTTGCATGTCCTAGATTGTACCATTTGCATGACATCAGGGTAGTCTCTGTCCCCTAGAGACCTTCTTAAAAATGAGATGTATATTTCATGAGACATTCTTTATGTACATAATTTCTAAAGTAAGAATTTTGAAGAGGGCCCTCTGAAAGTCACTGGATTAAATCATTGCACCTTTATCCAGTAGCCTTGTGAGAGAAATCGTTATTTTATGGGAATGTTGAAACAATTCTTTAAGAACACACCTCAAACGTGAATTAGCCCTTTTGGTGAATTTTGCACTTGAAACAAGGACAGGATTCATTTGTATTATGATCATAGTATTAGCCCTGTATATCTGTATTCCCTCCCAATGCATGGAGAAATGACAACTCACCTGACTGTTTCATCAAGCATTTTGTTTCTGTCTCAAGTGAAGCATTAAAATACTTTTCTTTACTGGAATAATAATATCGTTAAGCATCAAGCTACTAGACTTAAACAACAACTGCTTATTTGTTAAAAAAAAGAATTTAAAATAAGATAAAGATAGGACAGATAAGACTTAGTACTTAGCTGTTTATTTCAACCAAATAAATGCCTTAACATGGATAAAGGAAATTTTAATTCCAAAATAAGTGGCAGGAAAAAGCTGACTTAACCAAGTTTGGAGTAACTTTGTCTTTTCATCTTTGAATTGTAACAAATGAGTGCTCAAACTACAAGAGAAGATTCATTTGTTTGCATTTTGTACTATTTAGAAGGAACTGATAAAGCTTTTAAACTTTCTACCATAGATACATGTAGTGTTTTAATGATGTTGCTGCAGTATGCATTCTTCGCATTTGCAGCTAAAATTAGCATCTTTGAGAAAAGCAAAAAGATTAATTTCCTAATGCTTTATAACTTATTTTCTGGAAATTTGGGGAGTTTTTTAACTGGAAAGTATGCCATATTTACAGTGCAAAGAATTCACATATAATGACACACGGTGCAAATCATGGAAATAGCGAAGCTTAATGCAGAACAAGGGCTCGCTTTCTAAAGAGTATTCCTGGTTGGGAATTGCAGGGAGGTACGTGGGACCTCATTTCTCTCTCGCTGTTGGGAGTTCTCGAAGGAAAACTGCTTTTAAAAGAAAGAAACCTAAAAGTAGTCTTGCTCTTTTTTGCCAAGGATAGTGAAATTAACATGCAGCTGGGCTTCTCTGATAAATGGATTCTGTTAGGTCACTGAGGGGGTGCATGTGACATTAAGTGATTTACAGTCCTTTACCTTAATGAAATTGTTTCAGCAAGATGACGCTGAAAGCTCTTAATGGATAGCTTTTCTTGATGTAATGAAATTGCATTCCTATGGCATTTAATATAAGGTGCAGTTATTATTTACTGGAGCTTTCCAAGGGCTGCTATTTGCACAGACAGTTCAGAACAAAAAGAGATCTCAGTAGCGGCACCAGCAAGGCGAGAATGGCTTGTGACATTCTTAAGCAGATGAGTTGAGTGTATTTGTGAGAACATTTCAGTTCTCCCAGCCAGGGCTTCCTAGACCCTTCAGGGAACTTCCTTTCACCCAGCCCTGCTAGTCTGCAGCCTTTTACATATATTCTTCTAATCTGTTTACAGGCAACTGGATTACAACCAGATCAGCTGTATTGAAGATGGGGCATTTAGGGCTCTGCGGGACTTGGAAGTGCTGTAAGTGTTTCTTCTTTCTCTTACTCTTCTGAACGGGAGCTTTGTGTCTGGGGAGTGCTGATGTGGGAGCTTATCTGCTAGCTCAAAACCTTGTGTCAAAATGGTCTCTTATAAAGATACCTTAATAACTCCTGGGGAATACACAGAAGACTTAAAATGTGTGTGCACACAGCCGTGGGTATCATTTCTGTATGCTTAGGTAAAAACGTCTCTTGCAGGAGGACATTCAGATGTTCACAATACTGTCCCTTACGTGTTTCTCCTTATAACAAAATATTCTCAGTCACAGGATTTGTGAGAATTCCTAGAATTGTTAAATATTAAGATAAAATCAGGTGTGTCGGGAAAATGACAACAACAAAAAAATAGACCTGTTTAGTCGCTGATAAGTTGGAATATTTTGTAGTTGCCATGCAATGGAAAGATGTTTTCTCATTTTAAGATGTCATTTTTAACTAGATAACATCATTTTTGAAAGGCGATTTTTGGGATCTCCTTTCTAATTGTAATAAGCTGCCCATTGGGTCCATTTTAAAGTCTTCACTACTGACTTAGTAAAGCACAGCACGCAGATCTGAATTGTAATTGGCATCCTCTCTCTTTCCTTGCTGGGTAGACATGGCTGACAGAATGGGTTAGAGACAACTGAGTAATCTCTACAGAACTTTGACTTGGTAAAATAGTTTTAATGAAATTATTATGATGAAAAATAATTTTAATGTAAACTGGAGTTACTAAAGTGTTTGAAGTTGCCTGTACATTTCTGGGATTTTATTCCAGCCAGAGATTCGTATAAAATATATTTACAGATTTCTCCCCCAAGTAAAATATTTTTCTCTGCTACAATTCATCCCTGACTAAATTTATTCAGAATCCAAAATTGAATTAAATTTGAAGAGATTTTGAATTTTTAGTCCCTGTGGTAAAAGTTATCTGGGAATCATGAAATCCTCCTGGAAAAAAAAATTCCAAAATTGAGTTTGAGGAACAGAATGTAATTCTGAAAAAAGTTTGATGTTTTGACAAGATGGCTTATTTTAGCAATATTTTCTATATGATTTTGATTTCAATTGCAAGTAAATGCCTAGAATTTCTAGCTGCATCATGTGTAAAGTTACTGATTATTTTTAAGGAGTTAACATATAAGAATTAGTTGATTGAGATAAACTGTTATAAGAATATATACTGTCATCTATCCACCTTTATTTCTGTTGATAACAGTCTAACTTTTTCTCTAGGAAAAACATTCAGAGTGCTTATCATACACACTGCAGTTATAAGACCACTTTTTATTTGTGTTCCAGACCCATTAATATACAAAGCTCACTTTGCTATTTCAGCGTCAGAATAATTAAGATACAACTATGATTTCATGATAGTAGTCTGATGTTAAAACCATAGTCAAAGTCATAAACTTGGTATATGAAGAGACTACCATGGGTGTTATTTAATTGAATGGAGCTGATCAAGCCAAAAATGTGTTACTAAGTCAGTGCTTCTAACTGGAATAGGAATGACACCAAAAATTTTATGGAAAATTTGCTGAATATTTTGGATGGACTAAAATCAGTAAAGTACTTTGTTATTAACAAAAAGAGCTTCAATACTTACTAGATATGAAATAATTCATCTACATAATATATTGAGCATATATTGAGTGTGTGTATATATATATATAGAGAGAGAGAAAGCTATACATACACCCAAGCACTGTGCTGGGCATTGAAAATTCTTTACCCACAAATACAATAACTATTCATTTGATTCATCTGCTTATTTGTTATAAACTAATATCACTGTTTTTAGAAGAGCAAGTTCATGAAAACACAATCACCGCATACATTGTGTTTGTCATGTTAGCAAAATATCTAAAAGAGGACTTGAAACTACTATCTTGAAACACACCAAAGAGTGAAAAATGTCTTATGATTCATGGAGTTAAAATCAAAATCCACAGTGTTGGGAACTCTTTTGAGGACCTTAATACATAGGTTTCAAAGAGATATATAATGGTGAGAGTTTGCTAAAAAGAAATAATTAAAATCAGTACGTGATACAAGAAAATGTGAATTTCTTTTGAAATGACTTAAATATTTTATATCAAAATTTGATAGTCAAGCAGACATTCTTTTACTATGTGTTAATTTTTTAAATCCTCATAGTTCATACAACCTTTAAAGAAATTAATTGATGAAAAATTTAAGGTTGATTGGATAAAGTATTCAAAAGACTAGGATTTATCAAGCCCAAATCTCTTGTCAAGTAAATCAAAAGTTCTTCTATTGTAGACTTTGGTTGGGGGCTTTTTTTATAGAAGGTTCCAGAAAGAAAATTATCTGTTTTGCTTATTTTTACCATGTATGACTCTTTACAATATATCTTTTTATGTGAAACTGATGAAGGATTAATTAATTTGCACATCACCTTAAATTTATAGTCCCAATGTTTCAGGGTTTTTTTTTTTGTTTTTTGTTTTTTTAATTTTTGGTTCCATGAGCCATTTGTGAATGTATGATTACACTGAGGCAAAACAAGAGAAAATGGAAGTAATCATCCTGGACCAAGGATGAAACTTTGTTAAATTAAGATATATATTAGGGTAGAGAGAGTGAATAAAGTTTAAGAAGGAGAAGTCCAGGTAAGTGAAAGCAAGGGAAGGCAGTTTATCACTTGTATGTTCATGGAAACCTGGCAAATTGTGGAATTTGATTGACACAATTCAGAAGTGTTTATTTTTTAAAAAAATGTTTATCTTTTGAATATGAAGATACCATCTCAAAAATAACATTGGAAACTAAATCTAGATCAATGTTTTCTGTTTCTTTGGACAGCAGATTCAGAAATGAAATACATTCCTTAAGTTGCTAGTTTTGTATTTTTTTTCTTTTTCCATAAAATAGGCATAATTTTATTTAATTGAGATGTAGAGATTCATATCCGAAAAATATCAGACTCTCTGCCAAATACTATGCTGAGCACTAAGGGAATAAGAGAAGAATAAATCAAGATCTAAGTCTGAGAGGACCTACATGACTACCAAGACTCACATTTTGTGTTTACACATAAAGATATCCTTTGTAGAAGAATATATTCTCATTACAAAGAGAAAATCTTGAAGTTGAACATAGAAATACACTTTCATATAGGAGAAAGTGTTCACAAATAAAGAAGTACAGTAGATAATTTTGCATTGTTTCAGAGTAGGAATTGATCATGACCATAACAGATACATGACACCATACATAATTAACACATATTTATTATTACTTTTAAAATAATTTAATTTCATTGGTTCCACATACTGCTCCATTACCAGGCATCAGTATCAATATTGTTTTGCCAGCATCAATACCGAATAAAAGACACTAAGATAATTTATTTCTTCAATTGTGTTATGCAAACTAGTATTTTGAGAAAAGACTCCAAACTTATCGACACCAGTTTCAGCATTCAATTAAAACTCTCTTTTGTGTGGAATCATAAGAAATTATAGTTCAAAATTAATGCATGTCTGCTGCATGTGAATTACTTTTGAAAAAATGTTATCCCTAAAGTCACATTTCAGTATGGTATGGGGGCACTCTAAAGATTTTAGCCATATAAAGTCAGCATAAATTTTGAGGGTGGGAAAAGGGGTGATTTGAAAGCAAATCCCTTTAAGAAGTGAAACCTTTTAGTTCAAACATCAGGATATATTTTAATGGCGTTTGAAAAAAAAATCTCATTTCACTTGAGTACAGAAAAATGCTACAGGCTTTTAGATAACATGAGCCAACAAATTCAGTGCTTTTTAGGTTCTTCATAAAGTGGGTTTTTTTTTTTTTCTTAAGCAACTTAATTCAAATCACTTGGATTCGTTCTTCTATCCTTCAATACATTGCAAAGCTGGGTAAGACAGGAAGTCTGCGTGTTCTGGATCTGTAGCCGCCGTGCGCTACTTCGCTGAGAAGTTTAAGTGCCCCCCAACACCCCTAATCACACCAGTAACAACTGCAGCTCCTGGCTGGCCAAAAGTGGCCTGGCAAACCTATCTCGCTCAGTCCAAACAGACTCAGTCCGCAGACTCTTTGAAATATCTGAATTAGTTGCCAGTATTTAAAAACTGGGAGGATAGAGGTGAAATTTTCCATTTCTGGCTTCTCCGGGGAAAACCCGATTGTTTGGCAGCCTCCCGTTACAGCAGAGCGGCTGCCCATCAGAACTGAGTAGTAGCTGGTACAGCACAGAGTATCCTCGCCAGCTTACCAAGCTCTTCCTTGTCCCCAGCTCTCTGCCTGCTCCTCTCTATCTCTCTTCCCCGTTCTGTGTCCTGTTTCTGTACATACAACCTGTTTCTCTACTTTTATGTTCCCTGCCTGGCTTCCACTGGCAAGAGAATTTGCAAAGTCTACTGCAAACCTTTCTCCATTATCGAATGGCATCCACCGGCCGTGGATCCTGGCGTCTTGCCTCCTTCAGCTACTTGCATGCTTCCCTCACCCCGCCATGCTGTCTTCTCTCTACTAGAATCATTTGCTTCTTTGCCCGTGCACAGTCACAGCCCTGGGGTAGCTGTCTTCTCCCTTTCTTGTCACAGCCTGACTTCCCCGAAGGGAGGGGGGAAAAAAAAAAAAACCTCTTCTTAATCTCATTAACTCTAAATTTTTATAATTTGTGTACTTCATCTCCCCAGTTGGGCTATATGCTATTTTAAGACAGGTACTATGCCTGATTTATTTTTATACCATTCCATGTTGCCCTAAAATTAAGAGCCATTTAGGAAATACTAGATGAATGAATGGGTAGTAGTTGTAGTAGAAATAGCTAAAAAAAATACAACAAACAATGCCTGTGTTAGGGGAAAAGTAAGAACAATTTGAACCAAGCAAGAATGATGCTTCTTTTCACCATCTCTGCCTTGACCACCCATCTTCTTGACTCCAGCATCAAGAAACCGAGATCACTACCACACCACAGTAAGCAAAGGACAAGATATGTGCCTGGGATGTGAAACTGTTAGAATGTATTAAGCTTTTAATAAACTGCTCCAGCCTGACACTTTATCCCTATGCAATGCAAATACCAGATACAGATACCGTTTTTGCTACTTAAATTTCAGCAGTGGCGCAGCCAATGTCCACAGTATAGAATACTTAACAGGACTCTTTGGGAGATTTTGAATATCTTCATTTACTCATGACTCTAATTACACACAGTGCCCCTCTAAGGAAATGCAACTGTCTGATTTTACTGACTGTTGACTGCCTCGTGTTAATTCCTTAAGCAGTGTCATAAATACACATGCATTCATGCACATGGTGCATAAAGCAACATGTGAATAGTCAAAGATATTATGGCTAAAGACATAAATCTGCCATAAATATTTGATAGAGCTGAATGCATAGCAATGTGTTAAAGTATAACATTTATTTATCATCTTGCTTATAATATAGGGCATTCTTTATGCCGTCTCTACCACATAGTTGTCCTGCATAAACATAATTGCAAAGGGTTTTCTCTATATTATTAGATAGAATGATCAATGAATTTTCATTATCTAAAATGTCTAACTTTTTTTTTATTCTACAGCACTCTCAACAATAACAACATTACTAGACTTTCTGTGGCAAGTTTCAACCATATGCCTAAACTTAGGACTTTGTAAGTAGCCACAATATATATATAAAGGTCAATTTAATCAATTAAGGGTTCCTCTAAAGTACTATTTTTTGTAAACAAAGAACAGGATTCATGAATTCATAATGGGGTAGAGAAGGAAAATGCCACTTTTTTAAAAAAGTGCTAGATATGATATTTGAATAAATGAACTATCATTCTGAAAACATGAAAGCTTTCTTTTAAATGATACGCATTATGGGAAGGTGGGGGGGAACGTTTACTTTGAGCTATTGTGGAGGTCACATTTCATTAAGAAATGTAAGACTCCTTGATTGGCTGTCAGAAATGATAAATGGTAAATCTTTATGATTTTATTACTGTACAGCAAGCAGACCTAATAAAGCTAAACTGAATCTCCTACATTCTTTGTAACGTAAAATTACAGCATAACCCTCCAGTCCTTCTATAACAAAGGTTGTGGCAGCATTTATATTTAAAAATATCTTTTCAAGAGATGAACATTAAAATATTTTAGGTGAATAAAAACTTGTTCTCTAATAAAGCATTTGCTACAGCTATTTTTTTTTTTTCTTTTGGGGAAAATTAACTTTAAAGCCCAGGGTAGGGATAGTTAGTTAAAGCATTTTCAGAGATAAATCTCGTTTGAACTGGGTTTAAGAATCACCCTCGCCTCAAAAATATGTTATATACAACATGTGGGAAATGGTGGGAAACATAAGCAAAGCATTGAGCTTCTTGAAAAAAATATGTGCTGCTTGGGTTTTCAAAATAACTTTCAGTTTACTATAGTTTATAACTGGAAACATATTACATTTATTTTTTCTCTTTAATGAAAAAACATTTAATTGCCAGCTTTTTAATGGGTAATACCAATCTAAATGTCCTCTTTTTTTGTCACTAAAATGTGATGTTCTATGTATGATACAACACATCATTATCTTTTCCTTGGAATAAGATTTAACAAAATAAAGGAATTCTGAAAGTATGCAGGTATAACATAAATTCCATTTTTTTGATGCTCCTAATCTGACCAAATGAATAGATCAGTTCACTCAGACTATATTTGATGAAATTCGTTTCTTAATCATTGACTTTAAGCTAATTTTTTTTTTAGAAAACACACAGTGGACAACCTCTTTAGTGTCAAAAGCGAGGCCACTAAGAATGTGGAAGTGTCTATCATCTGCATTTCTGATAGTGTGCCTATTTTCCTATAGAAATCCATTACAGTTTGTCTTGCTAATCAGGCTTTATGTTCTTTTCTCACTTCAGATTTGTGCACACCGAATTGAATCATTGTAACGTGCTTGGTTCAGATGAAAATATTTCTAGAACAATGAGGTGGCATGTGCTATGTGGTTTCCAAAGGATGCCACTCTAACTTCCAAGCAAACTGAGCTGGAGGTGACCCAGCTTTCGCAAAATGTAGCTTTTTGTTCGGTGGCACGTCATTTAAGTTTTGATGCAAGACAGTCTGTTCCATATCTTACAGGCTCAAGGAGAATGTAAAACAGTCATCTAACTTGAAATTCCCTTGCTTCGGTTGTTTCATTATTCTATATTATCATTGCTACTTAAAAATTCCATTTTTATGGTCCAATTATCTTTCTGGACTGAGTTCCATGTTTTAATATCCATTACTGTTATTGGGTTAGAATTGAGCACATCAGCTAAAAAGGACTAAAATGGTATTACTGTGTCATAGATGATTCTGGAAATGATGCTTTGATTTATAGCTTTGGATGTCCTTTTCTTTAGTTTGAGAAAACATAAAAGCCAATTTGAAGTCATTTACCTAATTCAGTGGATACATTTGTCTGATATTTTATTAATGGAAAAGTGCTATTTGCCACTTGGAATGGATCCATGCTCTGGTGTGGATCCCTGCCAACACAGAGAGGGGGGCTCACTTAATTCCTTCACTCCCAGCCATTTATGTCTTTTCATTTCAGTTCCTGCTCTTTGAGAATAGGGTCCCAAGAGCCAAAAGCAGCTAATCCCTTTTTTCTGCTATTAAACAAAAAGAAGGAAATCAGAATAGGGACATGAAAGAAGTGTTTTTTATTGAATTATTATTCTATCTTGTTCTGCAGAAAACGAAAGTGACCCTCTAAAAAGATTTTGCAAGCAGTTCCTCCAGAAACTAACAACAGCAGGACTAACTGATAATTCATATTGGGAGCCACAACTTCTATTAACAGGCCCCCACCCCTGCCCTACCTATTACCTCTCCTTTCCCCCACCACCCCAACTGGCTGTCAGTATATTGGGACTGCAGAGCAATTCGCCTTGGACATCTCTCTTTCTTCTTACCCTTTTGAGTGAACATAGAGAAACCATTCTTATGGTCATGTTCAAGCTCCTGGATGTTGGCTTAGCTCAGAGGTAAATGAAGAGAAATTCAATTCTGTGGTTTTACACCAGTTTAATTTTTAGAAAACTAATTAGGTTGGGATTTCCTATGCTTTGTCTACTGACATGTTAAGAAATAAAGCTATAGATTATTATTAAGACTTTCTTTTTCAATTTTTGAAGTAACCGTCTTCTGTTTTCTTGCTTTAAACTTGTCTTTTTCTTCTCTAGTCGACTGCACTCGAACAATCTGTATTGCGACTGCCACCTGGCCTGGCTGTCTGACTGGTTGCGCCAGAGGCCCCGGGTTGGTCTCTACACTCAGTGTATGGGCCCATCCCACCTGCGGGGCCATAATGTAGCTGAGGTGCAAAAACGCGAATTTGTCTGCAGTGGTAAGGGAGAATGAACCTTTATGTTGTCGTCTTATTTTACGGAGAACTGTGGAGAATGCATGCTCTCAGAGTTTCCGTGTTGCTCACTAACGTGTGCAATTGTGCACTAATCACTCCATGGGAGTCCTCGGTTTTAGCGCCATTGAGAACAGGTTCTAGGATGTGTGTGCATGATTGGCAAGGACAGGGTCATCTGAAGTTAGGATGAAAGATTTCTAAATTTTTACTCCTGGGGAAATCGAGGAAATTCCTAGACTTTAATTCTGTTTGCTGCTTATTTTCCCATTAAGTAATAATGTCCGTCTGCTTTTCTGTTAACAATTGGAAATATGGTTAATCCTGGATCGCTGCTGGGAAATTTTAAAAAAGTAGCTCAACTGTAGTTGCAGAGTGGCAAAGTACTTTTCGTGAATACTAGTGGTTCATGTCTACTTCTAAGAGATAAATGACTAGCTTTAGTGATGAAAATCTGGAAACAAAAATAAGGCATAACCTATGTAAAATATCAGGAAGTCACATTCACTTAGTTCTTTCTATCTAGGTATTTCACATATATGTACCTCATTTCACCTTCCTCATCACAACTATAGTGAAATGTAATATTATCTTTATACTAGAGATGAAAACGCTGAGAAAAAGATGCTAAGTAGCCTTGTCCAAGATTGCGTAGCTGAGTCCAAGGATCTCAACCTAGGCAGGCTGGTTACCAGTGCATATATATTTATATTTATATTTATATTTATATTTATATTTATATTTATATTTATTTATAAAATAATATGTTAATAGTATCTGATACATATTAACATATATCTTATTTTATAAATACAGGGCTGGCTTTGCTTCAGAAGTGTCTGTTCAAAATACAGTAACACAACATTTTTAAATATACGTAATGCATCAAAATAGTTCCTTAAAGGAGGCACAAGAAGAAGTACTTACAGAGGATTCTGATTTATTGTTGTCTTTTAGAACTTTTTATGTATTTTTCCATACTTTTTATAACCCAGACAAAATTTTCCTATAATGTCATGGAATGGGAATGTTCTCTTCAGGTCTGATTGCTTTTTTAAAAAATTAAATAATGAAATGACTAACAGTTCGTTACTAACCACTTTTTTCTCTCTTCACTTTTCCCTTCCTGTTTTCTAGATGAGGAAGAAGGCAAGTTCACCTTTCTTTTTTAGACTGAGACTATTTTTTGTAAGGTTTGAGAGCTTGTTCAGAGGGCTTGGGTTAGTAAGGAGCCTGCAGCGTCTCCCTGGCCTACGTGACCGCTCAGGCCCTCTTGCTGCAGATCAGAGAGGGCTGTCCCCTTGCTCCAGTAGCCAATGTGTGCAGATGCCCATTTCTACAACACGGCCGACATTCTGTTGTTCGTCATCCCAACAGTGAAATCTCATTTCAAAACAGTTTTGTTTCCGAATACTGAGTAGTAAAAATATATGCCTGCAGGTAACTACTTAACGCTAACGTTGTAGGCCATGTGAAGCCGAATAAAAGAACTATCTAGATTAACAATTACGGAATGACATGTTACAAATTATTATAATAACTTCAAAGAAAGCACAAATGTTGAACCTCTCAAGACATCCAACTTATTATTAGCAAGATCTAATTTTCCCCTCATTTATTGGTGCATGATTACTTACTTAGAATCAACGTTTATACCCTCCAAGAGGAAAATGTTACTGTTTTCCTTTCTTTTTTTTTTGAGGGTAGAGTAAGTTATGCTACTTAAGTTTAATAAAAACCGAACTCTATTTAAGCGTATCGGAAGTGAAATCTAGGTTAGTCTGAAACTGCTGCTTTTTTTGGAACTCAATAGTTTTGAATCAAATTCCAGTTTCAGGTCTGAGGTTAGCCTTTCTTAACAATTATTTCAACTCTGAAAAATGATCATTTTCATAGTTTTAAGAATCTCATTTGCTTCATCTGAGTGTTGGCCCAGAACTATAAATGCATGCTGCCTAAAATATATCCTAGAACTACAGGACCAATTTTATGCTCAGATATTTAGAGAAATATATTTGTGTTAAGTAACATGCTTTGGTTGTTTGAGATAAGCTCATGTGTTTCACAATCTGCGGTTTCGGAGGGAAAATATCATTGCCATCTCTTTCTCTTGCAGGTCACCAGTCCTTTATGGCTCCTTCTTGCAGTGTTCTGCACTGTCCAGCTCCTTGTACGTGTAGCAACAATATCGTAGACTGTCGTGGGAAAGCTCTCACTGAGATCCCCACGAATCTGCCAGAGACCATCACAGAAATGTATGTGCCCTGAAATTTCCTCTCATCTCTCCACCTCCACAGTGACCCAAACCCTGACTTTCTTTAGAGCTTCTAGGTTTCTCGAAGGCCAATGGGATCAATCAGTTTAGACAAATATTCCTTTCAGAATTACATTGAGCCTGACTCTGCTTAATGAAATATCTTGTTGGAGGGGCTAGGGTTTTTCTTTCTCTTAACATAGGTAGAATGAAAAGGAACGTGTTTGAAGGATAAATAGTACTTGCCCTTTCCTTGGGAAGCTGTTACCAGGCTATTTAGGAAAAATAAGAGTAGGTATATGTAGTCTGACCATTTGGGTCTATAGATCTGCTCTTCCTGTCCATGTTTAGCTTCTAGTGAGGAAATAATGGAAGGACTGAACTGAGGTAATAAATCATAGAAACAAGATAACCTCGTCCTCAAGAGCTCGCGTTTTAAATGCAGTTTCACTATTTTGTTGGAACTATTGTATAGTCTACCACAAAGTGTAAAAAGGATAAAATTATAAAGTCAGAATATATAAGATTTTTAAATTAGTGAGCATGTTAACCTATGTGACCCAATGGCTATCTCTATCAAAAGTTAAATTGTCTTGACAAAGTATTTCTATTTTGTATGCAGCTGCTGTTTGCATTTGTTCTTGCCAAATATAAGTCATGTGGGTAAAACAAGGTCATTTAAGATGTAAAATGAACTGCTCTTTCCACCTTGAGAAGTAAGCATTGGAAAATCTTTACTTCAATATCTATTAACTAAGACAGCACCTCTTAACCTTTCAGCCTACCATGTTATTGTTTTAGAGGCATTTTAGTTTAAAATGATAAAATAAGCCTAACTTCATTTAAGTCTACATAGTAGGCACAAAAATTAAGTTATTTTCAAAAACTATTAGTTTTTTGCCAGTTCGTTGCTTTAATTTGCTTTATATGAGACTAACTAATTCACAAGACCCATTAACATTATTTAAAGTATCTAATAGGTGTTTAAAAGTATGCTTAGAGCTTTGCAGTGTAAGATCTTTTGCAGTGTAATCTGTAAAGATTCTAGAATCTGTGGAGGTTTGACACAGACATGAAATAACGTGTGCACATAATCTTATTATCATCAAAATTTTAGTTTTGCTCATCAAAGGCATTTATAAGTATTTTTTAGCTGATCTTTGGAAAAAGAATAATATATGGTTTTGGAAGAGGCAGGTGACATTCCATAAAAGAGAAACATCAGGAATGAAAGACGGAGGTGGTGGGGAGCATTATGTTTTAGAGATTGCACAGTCAAGCCTAATTAGAGTAACAGGTGCATGTTGGGGCATCATGGAAAATAATACCTCAGAAAAGACATAGCCATATAATTTTAAAGCCGCAGATTATTGAAGGACTTTTGTCTTAGTCAGAAGATGTAATATATGTAATATACGATAAACTAGATAGCAGAAAGACATAGTAAGTTTTCAAATAGGGGAATAGTATATTCATCTATTCAGGCAAGAGCATTTATTAAGTAAACCCTTACTATAGAAAAGGCAGCATGAATTTTCCAGAGATTTTCCAAGTGACTAGCAAATTTGACGTGCAAATTAAAAGCTATGAAATGAGGTACAAATTAATACACGTTTGTAAGAGAGGAACAAATGAGGTTCAAGGTAGCTAAACAGAGGCGTAAAGTGGAGGTCAAGTTACAGTGGTTAATCAAAGGCAGCAAGCTTTAGTCAGACCCACAGGTCCACCTACAATTCACTATCTGTGAGACTGTAGGCAAGTTATTTATCCTCTGTGAGACTGTCTCCTCCTCTGATACTAAGGGTTGTTGTTAATTTGAAATGAAAGAACACACGTAGAGCTTTATGTGTTTAGTAGATAGTAGTAATTCAGTAAGTGATACCTCCATCGTCGAAGCCTTCATATAAAAAGTAACATCTGAGGTAGGCCTTGAAGGATGGGCAGGGAATGGAAATGCAGAAATGAGGAAAGGGCTTTCAAAATGAATAGAATATCAGAAGCATTGGCAATAAGAATGGAAATGCAAGACACAACCAAACAGGAGCTCAATGTGGCTTTTGGAACCCGAGCGAGTGCAGGAAGATAAAACTGGAAGGGTAGGTTGGAGCCAATTCATGGAGGGCCTTGTATGGTATAAGGACCTAAGTCTTTATTTGGAATGCATTCGATTACAGGAGTTTTCATCTGAATCTTCAAGAATTAATCTGACAGCTGTGTGCCAGTGGTTGGCAAAAGGACAGACTGCCAGGCTGAGGCCTCTTTAGGTGGCTATCATGTTGATGGAGGGGAAATGTCCTAAGAGCAGGAGCTAAGTAGCAGTAGGAATGATGATGCAGAAGTGGGTGTGGTAGTTAATACAGGAACAGAATTCATGGGATTTGGCATTTGGTGAGATGAGGGACTAATGGAGAAAAATGAACCAAAGATGATGTCAGAATTTCAAGTATTAGGGATGGGGAATTGGTGGTTTTATCATTGGATAGGATAGAAGAGGCTGAAGGACAGGACAAAAATTGGGAAAGAAGATGGTGGTGAACAAAACGTGTGAAATCCTGAGGTGCCAATGGGATTTTTAGGGGATGGTAAAATAATACAGGCCATAGTAGCCTGGAGCAAGACAAGAACTTGAGGCAAAGATTTTGGAGTAATTAATACTATGAAATAAAAGTTGGTGGTTAAATCCATGAAGTAGTGAATAGAAAGGAGTGCGATAGAAGAGAAACCCAACAGAAGTAAGAGCAACAGAGGGCCAGAGTGAGCAAGGAAGGGGCTGAGTTTGGCTGAGAAAGGGTGTTTTGAAAAAAAGACAGTTGTCACTGTAAAGGACAGTGACATTGGATTGATTTGAAGATGCAGAAAGCTGCAATCATTAGGTAGTCAGAGACATGGGTTTAGAGAGAGAGATGAGAGTGTGAGAGTTAGTAAGATCTCTGTGGGAGCACAATCATCCTGGACACAAAAGTGTGTGGATCAAATCCTGATTATAGGAAAGAACAAAACACCGCCGTGCGTTGACAAAAGAACAGTGAGTTGTAGATATAACAGACCGAAAGTAATGTGTGACATTTAAAGTAGTTTATCTCATGTAGTCTATTTCATTTTTTGTAACAGAGCGTTTCTTCTATTTTGTATGCTCTATAGATTTTGTATTATCGTGAAATTTAGTAACATAAAAGTTACACTAAATAATAATGTCCCATCAGGTTTGCCTGTATTGAGGAGGTGGTGTATCAGATAAAGCTACAATAAATTAAATTTATAAGTAGAGATGACAACATATGTGAAGCTCTAGGTGAATTTCACGTCTCTGATTATTACATTATCAGCTTTATCAGTAGAGCATCTGGTAATAAATCATATTGATCTTCAACTCCAACAAAATACCCCATTACCATTCATTATAGTGGCATAACTTACTGGCTTAGTAACTCATTTCTTTTATTACTCTTTTATTTTTATTAGTATAAAGAACATCAGTTAGATTCATAAAATGTGGAAGTAGAGCTATACAACATCTTTCTTCATTTTTATAGATTCCAGTTTTTTAATACATGATGAGCTGAAAATTAAAAACTCCCTCCATATTTTCAAATAAGTTTTAATCTAGATTTTACCATAAGTTATAAGTAGAATTGCTTTACTGCAGTTTATCAGACATTCCATTCAACGCTGTTGAATTGATTTCCTTCTATGTGTGGTATGCCTTTATTCCTGCCACTGTCTCATAATAGAATTGTAACAAAAAGAAAGTATGTATGTGCTCCATGTAGGAGTGATCTACTGCCTATTATTCTAGGTAGAAAAACTTGACTCATTCTTTTCTTTCTTCTGCGTTGGGCTTACAACCATAATTTCACACTTCTGGTACTTGCTCAAACAATTATTTGTTAAGGTAGATGGGAAACGTTCTTTTAAAGTTAGAATTGGAATAATTTGCCGAAGAACAGATAGGAGACCAACATTTATCTAACAGTGTTGGATGCTGTACACACATTATATCATATGATCTTCTCATTGACCTTTTTTTTAAATTTTATTTTATTATGTTATGTTAATCACCA